TCTTTGATTGTTCTAATAATGTTTTGTTTAAGGTCACAATCAAGTCCCGCGTCAAGAGTATCAAATTTATTCCTACTACTTGTAATCAAGCCAGTCGTTCCTGTTGGAAAAAGGAAAAAGAAATTGAAGTTACCATGGAGCATACAACGGATGGTTATGGTTATTCCATAAGACTCGTTTTTAAAATGGCGTCCACAACAAACATTTGTGTGGCAGCATAAGCTCAAGGCTATTTAAAATAGCATCCTTTTTCCCAATAGCTGTCAGTCACATGAGAATTTAATTTGAATGTGTAACCATTTGCATAACCTGCCTAGAAATGTTTTCTCTGCCTTTCTCTGCTCGTGCGTTTATAGGTAACTGATCCTATTCATATTTCTGCGGAGCTGCAGGAGGATCACCATGTAGTGGGGAGGGGGGAGTTGTTTAGATCTACAAAACGTGATTACGGGTAATAAAACAGCCCTAAGAAAATACGCGCGCTGATTGGTTAAAAATCGCGTTTCTTTTAAACAATTAGATTATGAGCTCGAGATTTCTATCGCTGATAGTTTGCGAGGGCGCAGCCCGAGTCAACTATCACACAGAGAAATCGAGAGCGACTAATCTAATTGTTTTAGTATAAATCTACTAGTCGCTCAAAACTTTATCTAAAAGCTCTTCAAATACACTTCGAAAACGCCAAGAAGCGGCCTTCACTTTGTTAAGAAGCGCACACTGCTACGCTACTCACTATCTATCACAGAATAGATAGTGAGCAGAGAAGCCAATCAGAGAACAGCATTCGTGATAGAACGCTAGTAGATTTACACTAAAACTCGTTAGAAACATGGTACAAGTTTTCTATTCCTTAATTGTACAATAAACTATTTATAGATTCTAACGTCTGTAAATTCAAACAGGTCTTTTATCATCACAGCGATAGCCGTGGTTGAGGTTAGCTTGCACCACTCTTGCGTTTTGGCTGGCAATTGGTATTACTGAGTGTCAATGGTGACGCAAGAATTTCACTAACGAGATTATAATGATGGTAGATAGAATCAACACTAGTTAAGTATTACATTCATACCCAGGGCAGCAGCACACTGCCAACTGGGGCCCTGAACAGTGGTTCATAGGGCAAATAAAACTGGGACAGGGCCACACATTTGAGTCCATAGGGCGTGGTATACATTCCGCACCTTTCACACGTGCACAAGGTTCTGTAGACAAGAAAAGTTTTTCTTTTGTTAGCCATTAAAGGGTCATGCCTAACAACAGGGGGTACTCCACACAGTTTTTGCTAGGGGTGTGAGGCCCGAACCTTGAAACCTGTACCCTATTTTAGACCAAAATCTGTGATTTTCCACACCCTATTTCAGCCATTTGAGATGGGCTACATATTTGCCACTGTTGATGCAAAAATAAAATAGCTCCTTCTAAAGAAAATACCCAATACCAAGCCATACCCTATTTAGACCAAAATGGTCAAAATCTATACCTGTTTTAGACTAAAACCGCTCAAACACCATACCCTTTGGTGCTGCATATACCTATATAGCCCATATAAGGGAGTACCGCCCCGTCGTCCCCCGGGGGGGGGGGAAGGCTAACACAACCAGAGAAACACTTTGGTTTTAATTTTCATGTCTCCGGCTTTGTTGAAAGAAACAATCCTAACAACAAACGATGGTCATAGAAAGGAATACCCATGTACTGTCATACCTGGCTCACGAAAACGCTTGGCATTAATGGACTTCTCTTGTTGGTTTTCTGGCTGTGCGCCCTGCACGGTGATAATCCCCAAAACAATCAGGAACAGGCACACATTCATTGTTTTACTGCAACAGAAAATAGGGTGGTGAGAATGTTTATCAATAGCGAGGCATGAAGATAGCCAAACATGCAAATGGTAGCAACGAAAGTCACTGACTGTTTCGTCTTGCAGTGGCTAGTAAGATAACTGTACATAGTTTGACTCAGGAAAGGAAAAAGCAAATGGAAATTGGACATTAAAACACCCAGTAAAGAAAAGCTTTGATTGCTAAATTCCAACTTCACCGGCACTTCGAACAGAGCGCTTCTTGTGTTAAAAGCATCATTAGTCCTTAGAACATAATTCCTAATGGAGCTACTAATTAAGCCAATCGTTTCTCACATTTTGCGTTCACCGTTCATAACGATTTCGTTTCAGCATTGGCCGCTTTTATACTAGAGGACGCATTATCTGTCGAGAAGGATAATGCGTCCTCGCCGTTTTTATACTAAAGACGCATTATCCTTTTGGACGAACTTGGGCAAACATTTGTATTTCGTCTTCGGGCACAAGACAAATTAAACGTCTAGACGAACTATCCTTCGAAATTCTTCTTGAACGACGCACTACGAGAGATAGTTCGTCTGGACGTAGAATACGTCTTGTGCCCGTCTTTATACTGGAGACGCATAACCAGACGAACTACGAATATATGCCCAAGTTCGTCCAGATGGATAATGCGTCTTTAGTATAAAGACGGCCAATTATGTGAGAATAAAATGCTTGATATAATACCACGTCACTTTGACGAGTTAAAGACGAATCGGTACTCAAAATTTACAAAATAAAGCGTCATAAGGGAACACGTAATCATGAAATTTTGCTCAATTTTGGAATGAGGAATGCTATTACACGACCTTGAAAACAGATGCTGATTTTTTTTTTTTTTGGAAGTCCTTTTGGTCAATCTCATATTTTTTTATTCCTAAGAATAGTTCTGGTGTTTAATCAACACTCTGCCAACGTCTTTGCTATCAGAATAATGTCAACAATTACTTCAAGTTTAAATTTCAAAAATGCTTCAAAATAACAAATTATTCGACATCACCACAGCTGTTTCAATACGCTGATATACACTGAAGCCTTTCCTCAGCTTTAGTTGTTTCGCTTAATTAAAACCATTGTTTGAAATTAACAAGCTACTTTGCGTCGTTTTTACTCAATTTGTACCAAATTCAATATTTTATCATCAATAACAAATCTAAAATAATTTTTGCTATCTATAAATACTTTATTTTACTTCATTGATCATACGGCAGCTAAATTATTATTCCACGTCTACACAGCTGCCTCAATGTGCTAATAAGCTAAATTTAATCATATTTTCTTGCATTGATCGCATTTTTAATCTCATTTTTTTTTCTCCATTTTATCGATCTTTGCGTGAGATTCAAATAATCTTTATTTTTTTCATTTCTTCTTCACTTTATTCTAGCTAGCTAATATTTGAGAAAATCAAAGATTATTCAATATGAGCACATTTTCCTGGATGTGCTATTAAGCCAAGATACCATAATTTGCGTCTCTTTTTTCTATATTTCGGACACAGTGTAAATCCATGCAGTATCTTTGTTTCACTTTTTCAGTCCAACATTTTATCATCAACGCAGTTGCTTCGTTGCACTTAGTAACCATTATCTACTATGCATGTTTGCGATCAAGGTGAATGCAGGCTATTTCTCCAATTGATAACATATCTTATTTTGCTTCATTTTTATCTAATCTGCGCAAAATTCAAACTATTTTTTAACAAACGAAAGACATTACGTCGCTGCACTTTTTGATCACATTTTTGCTACATGCAGACCATCTTGAAAAATTCGTTCATTTCTCTTTTATTTGAGAAATAGTATTTCCAAATTATTTGTTAACTGCTTCATGACCTTAGATGAAAAATGCCCGCGGTGGATTTTTCACGAAACGCGCAAAATGTCAATAGTCTTGAATTAAAACATTATTTTCTTATTAATGTTGTATCATTAAGTCTAGAACACACTTTCTATTGTAACATCTTTTCTAGGTATCACAAACTAGCTAGAAATGTCTCAAAAATGACGCACGCACTACTTTTGTCAGGCATTAATTTACAGCCTTTTGCAAAAAAAGAAAAATCAGGCTTATCCCAGCTAAAAATTCAAGTCCAGGCGGTGATTCAAGGTTTAATTGCAGAGAAGGTACTAAAATCTGATGTAAATTAATTCGCTGGATTGATATATTGAGACTAAATACTATTGATGTCTTTACCTTTCACTTCGCACTTTTCAGGAATAAGTCACAGCCCGATGTCAAAGCGCCTTCTTTATTTTTAAGTGCTGAGTAGAAGTGTTGAAAATTTCTCTGATTTAAACAATTAAGGCTTCATTATTAACGTTTAGCTTTCGCGTGACTCGAGCAGCCGTCCGTCTTTTGTAATATGACTGACGTACATCACTTCAGAGCATTCACACATCTGCATGTCGTTGCTCGACTACAAAAACCTAACAGTCTGGTATACTTTCCTGTTCATATATCCCCAAAGCCTTCGATGTTTAATCCAGACTTGATCCTGCTTGTGTTTCAATTCTTTTTCATTTTTTAACTTCACAGAAAAACCTTTCTGTTGTCCAAATTAGTTTAACAGCGACTACCAAAAATACAAAGGACTATAACAAATTCCATGAATTAGATGGAATCAGCGTGTATAGTATTCCAAGAACAAGACTGCCCATTGCTAGCTTGAAGCTTATTATTTAATTAAAAGGACATCCAAGGGAGAAATTTTAGCAAAAACCTGCAACGTTGTCTTTCTATTGTTTAGGACCTTTAAAAAGGGATGTTTGGGGTGTCCTAAAGGCTTGCTTAAACTAATCCAGCTTTATCTGTTCTGATCCTAGAGTGAGCTTATAATTAATTGGCAAAAGCTTTTCAGGTCTAATTACGGAATCTAATTCCACGAATGTCGTCAATTAAACTTTCAAGCTGCTGTTGCCTTTCCGAAAATTAAAGCTGACTTCTCTTCAGTCCTGCTACACTCATGGTATCAAAAAATTGCCCAATCATTGGTGAACAAGTTGTTATCATTTTCGTGACACACTAATTCATGATAGCAACAGTATGATCTGTTAAAAACACCCTTGAATAAAGCTTTAGGGGCTTATAATTAAAAACAGCAAGGTGAATTTTTTTTATATTATCAAATTTTGATAAGTATGATAAGGCGCAAGTTTTGGCAAAGTTTAAAAAAATTCTGAACATAGGGTTCAGAGCCACCTTAAATTTTCAGAACTTTAAGGTGGCTCTGAACCCTATGCACAGGTTATTTTCAAACTTTGCCAAAAGTTGCGTCTTATTATGCTTATCAAAAATTGATGATATAAAAAAATTTCACAGTGCCGTTTTTGAATTATAAGCCCCTAAAGCTGTAATTAAGTTATTTTAGCAGCTCATACTGTTGCTATGGTAACCTATTGTGTCATGAAAATGATATCAACGTGTTCACCAATGATTGGGCAGTTTTTTGATACTGTGGTTGTAGCATCAAGTGACAAAGAGTGTTATAACAACCCATCAAAATCTAGCTGCTGAAAACTGTTTTGAGCCACCTTAAGCGTGCATAAACGAATAAAGTGTCTTCTTCCCTTGTTTCCAAAATTATAACTATGAAGCTGTACCTATGTCAAATTTTCTTGGTCAACAGTCGAGCTTTGTTTGCTAGAGCGCTTGAAGAAATCGAAACCAGACAAGCCGTTGTTGGGATAAAGTGAAAACCTCTCTGAAACCCGTCGCGCGGGTAGATTGTTCTCTCTGCAGGAGTTCCAATTCTCTTGAAAATAACATTTTTTCAGGCTTTCTTAGTTACTGAGAATATTACTCTCTTGCCAATTGCTCTCTCGCCGTTCTTGCCAATCTCGCATACATTTCATTTCATATATATTAACAACACTAAACAAACAACTTCTCGGCTTAAAACAAAGCTTAGTTGATTTATGTTCCCTGGCACGTCATCCCTAGTGAAAACACGTATTTTGCTAATATATCAATTTGAAATTGATTGACAGC